TTCGAGTTGTGGTGCTGGATAAGAGTACTCAACACACAATAGACACTAAGAGAAGGGGGGACAAAAAACAACGGTCTTCTCCTTGGAGACAAGGATTTGGGGACTCCGTTTCACATACTTTGGGCATGTTGTCAGAAGGGGCCAGTCTTTGGAGAAGAGCATCATGCTTGGAAGATCCAGCACAGAAGATGAAGACCTTGGATGAGATGGATTGTGTCAGCAACAATGGCATTAGAGGTGGGTGTGTCAGAGATGATGAGGTTGGCTCAGGACAGGACAAGGTTCAGAGCCACTGTTCACAGGATCACTATCAGTCATAGTTAACCTGACAGCACATAACAATAACAACAACATCAACTAGTAGTTTGTGGCAGATTGTTATGCAGCCCCAGGAAATTAACACAACACTTCCTCTTGGGGTGTTATTCAAATGCCTCATTTCAATAGTTAAAATGGAATTCTAGCATGCCCTGTGCACCCCAGTAATTTACAGCCCTGCCCAAACATTTTTTCCTGTTATTTCCAATCTTCTGTCCTTACCACCTGGCAGGCTTCCTTTCCTTCCCCACTCCCACCCCTGGGCTTCCTATACTATCAAGTCGCCAGGCCTAGTCCTACTGCCATTGCCGTAGGAGCTCACCATTATCACCTCAGGCCTGAATGGACGCAGCAGTATCCTGACTGATCTCAGGCAGCCTGCCTTGCCCGAATGAAATCCATTCTCGAGATAATGCCAGCAGCTCGATTCTGACAAAGGAGAAAATTCCATGCATCACTCTCTTGCCTACTGTCCTTAAATGACTTCTCTCCACGGCCCCTCGAGAAAATATAAAATACTGAGCGAGGTAGATGAGACCCTCCATTTAAGGAGCACTCAATTCTCCTGATGTTTCTCAGTCTCCCACAAGAATCCAACAGGTCACCCTGCGGAGAAGGAAATTCCAACAAGCCTGAAGCAGGGCAACGGGACACACTTCCGTAAATTCAAATAATCATCTCTCCTGAAGGCACATGGTAGGTTTCACAGGCTCCTTCTAGAAATTAAGCCCCAAACTACTCTTCATCAAAATGTAACCAATATTCTCTTCATATTAAATAAAAGATTAACTACCGTCTGACATACTCTGGGCATATTGTGAGGAGAGACCGATCCTTGGAGAAGGACATTATGCTTGGGAGGGTGGAGGGACGGCGCAGGAGGGGAAGACCCTCTATGAGGTGGATTGATTCAGTGACTGGGGTAATCGGGATGGGTGTGTCAGAGGCAGTGCAATTGGCACAGGATAGAGCAGGGTTAGGGCAGGGCTGCTGTACATACGGTCGTTATGAGTCACAAACGACTCAACATAACAACAACAATGACATTCCCAATTGGCCTGCATTGAACGGCCCTAAGACATGAAGTGAATGGGTTCTGTAAGCATCCGATGGTTCGTATACACGGAGCTCAAATGAGCCCCGGTCCTGATCCCATCATCTGTCCTACTCATTGCCACTGAGTCCGAACTGACTCATAGCTGACCCCCCAGCAAGTTTTCAAGCAGCATGAAATCACATGGGAGCAGACTGCCCACCTTTCTCCCTTGGAGACAATGGTGGATTTGACTCACCAAAGAAGCACTGGTGTGGCGCCTTATGGACTGCACCACCAGACTCTATCTCCAGTACACACTTAACTCACCACCACCACCACCACCCCCAAAGAGAAAATGTGTGTTACAGTTTCAAGTACTTGTGTTCCATTCATTTCTTGCAAGCAAACAAAACATTTCTTTCTAATGTGTCCATTTTAAACGCACAAAAGAATTCATTAATAATAAATTCCATGACAGAACCACAATCTACTGCCTTCAGCAACAGCAACTCAGCAGGAGAGGTGAGAACTGCCCCACAGAACTTGGGAGGATGTGAATCTTCCTGGAAGCAGACTGCCCCACCTTTCGCTGGCAGAGCTGTGGGAAGGGTTCAAACCACCAACCTTTCCATCAGCATCCTACCTATTAACCCACTGCACCACAAGGGTTCCTCCATAGTCCATCTGGTTTTTGTGTGCCATTGAGTCAGAACCGACCCATAGCTGACCCTCCAGCTGGTTTTCAGAGGCAGTTACCCACACGAGAAGAGACCCATCCTTCTCCCAAGGACCAAATGATGGACTCAAACCATCAACCTTTACACTGGCAACACAATTCCTTATCACTAAGCCACCTGCAGAGCTTCCTGCAGAGCCCAAAGCAAAATAAAAATGTGCTTGCCTTAGAAACAGTCAGTCAAGGGGAGCTCTGGTGGCCTAGTGGCAAGGAACTGCAACTACAATCCCAGAGGTGCACGGTTCGAATCCACCAGATGCTCTGCCGGGGAAGGAGGGACAATCTCCTCCTGTACCAGTCAGATCTGATTTGACGGTACATGCGCACACACACACACACACACACACACACACACACAAAACAGTCAGCCAAGGGTCCAAGTTCTCTGTGTAACACTTGCTTATAAGTGTACAAAATAAAGGCACAAATTCCTTTAAAAAAATGGACAGGATATATAAAATAAAAGTACATGGAATAAGGGAGCAAGGGATGGGAAATAATGCAAATTAATTTAACAGGAAAAATCCTCAATATAAACAAATGTGTGTGTTCATCTTTAGATTAAATAAGAGAGATCTGAATAAGCTCTTAATAAATACTCTCTTTAATATTTCCTATGAGCTACAACAGACTATTTTAGCAACTCTAAATCATTGGTAAGAAGCAATTACTATAAATGTTTTACTAAATGTTAGTATTTTAGTCAGCAGCCTTTCTTTCTTGATGGCATTTGCTGTAAGCCAAATAATCCTGCTCTTATTTATTTTTATTCAGAAAGATTTTGAAGGGTTTCTATTTGTATCTTCCACAGTTTGAAAAGTCATTAAATATTGAGAAGAGTTGTGGCTATGGTGAGAATGCATACCATGATAAACTAAGCCAAAGACCATTATTAGATGCTAACACGGGGCTGGATTCAGCTGGTACTCATTACCAAGGTTCATTGCAGGCCTCTCGTGCTCATTTTCCATAAACGGTTTTTTAAGAATTGTCTCCTTTTCAAGTGCATAGTCTAGCTATCATTGAACTTAGTGCTATTACATGAATTATGTATACAAGGCACTCATAGGTCAATATTACAGTTCACTAAGTCATAACTTTAAAAAAAAAATCCTGAAGGCATGCGGTTCACATCTACCAACATCTCCACAGGAGAAAGATGGGCAATCCCTTCCGTGCTATCAACTGCCTCCGAAAACCTGCTGGAGTGTCAGCTATGGGTCAGTTCCCACTCAATGGTACACAACAACAACACTTAACCCACATTTTAGGCTCTCCACAACCCTCAAAAAACAGATAACCATTAAATGATAGTATTGGGGGTCTACTGACTAACATTTACAGTGACTTCATAAGGTTCCAGGGGCAGAGACAAAAGAACATATTTACCTTCAATTCTTTGTCACGTGCTTTCAGAAGAGTTCACAGCATTCTAAGTAAACACAGTATTCCTTCAAAATGATACATAGCACTCACTGAAAGAAGTTATACATAGTCCTGTTCCCAAAACCAGTTTTAATTTCCATTTTGTAACTTTTTAGGAAAAATTATTTCCATCTCAGCAACAAGAATAGTGCAAAGAAAATCCATGTTAGCCAGATCCACAAATGGTAAACATTTTACCAAAAAAAAGGTCTTTGGATGTACCAAGGGAAAGGGATGTCTAAGAGAAAACTCTAAAAGGACGATCTTACCGAAATAACAGTAATACTATGGTCTAAGGCTGCAAAGGGTTTCTTTAGGATTGGGTGGCCTAAAGGGTAAAGAGTTGTGCTGCCAACAGAAAGATAAGCTGTTCAAATCCACCAGCCACTCTGCGGGGTAAATATGAAATCCGCTGGTGGGTCAGCAATGAGTCAGTTCTGATTCAGTGGCAATGAGGGAGTGAGACAGTGATTAGCACAGGGTAACATGCAGGCAACACTACATAATAACATAATGTTTGCCCTTGCAAAATCCCATGATCCACTGGGAGAGGTGGAGCTGTGAACCCTGTGGACCACAAGCAGGTTGAAGTAGCCACTGTCAAATGGATATGTGAGCAGAGAGGTAGAATTGTGTGGCTAGCCAGGAGACTTCCCCACTGAGACAGTGCTAAACTCAGCTGTAAGAAGGCTGAAATGAGGGCCCAGAGTAGGTCATACAGAAGAAACAGGAAGTTCAAGTGCTTGGAAGCAGTAAGATTAAAGGAGGAAAAGTAAAATTCCTTAGAATTTTCTTATCTTTAAAGGAAAAGTTGTATATTAGTATGTTGTTGTTGTTATTGTTGAATGCCTTCGAGTCGAGTACGACACACAGCAACCTTACGAACAAAAGGCCTGAAGGCCCTCTACAACTATCGACATTTATCAAAGTGTATATATAGTTAGTTCATGTAAAAGAAATTCTCAAACTTTTCATTTAATCATTGTTAATGAGGTAAAGTCATAAAAGTAGTACCTTCAAGTGTGGTATTCTCAGTTATGTGCTGAGTAATAATGCCTCTGTGGCATTTATGTCAAACACGTTTAATAAATGTCACAAGAAACAGCTTCCTGTGAAGGGCAAAGGCCCTTACAATTCAAGATTCAATAAAGCTAATTATAACAGAGCTTAAAAATAACAGAAAGTAGTATCTACGAGGCTTGGAGTCTAAATAAATACGGCTTCCATAAAATAAGGTGTTTACCTCTGTACTATTCAATCTTTTAGATCTTATTTCAAGTAGCAAACTCTTCATAGAGGAGCTAAGATGTCCCAAACAGGATAAGGAGACACCCTTATCTCTGAACAGTAATCTCATACATAGAGTGATTTCAAGGATGCCCAGCAAATGCAAAGGATGAGGTCAGTTTGCCACGTATGCACACATGCACGCGTGTACACACCATGTACATACACCATGTATGTACACACCACGTACGCACGTACCTGCATCTGCCGCTGGAGCTCCCGGGCCATGGTGCTGTCCTGAAGAGCATTCTCCCGCTGACAGGCGTCCGCCAGCACATTAACTGTGGTTTCTGCTTCTTGGATCCACTTGAGGAAGTTTTCCAGGTCCCGGCGCGAGGCCTGCACTGTCCTCAGCTCAGCCTCCAGGGCAATCTGTCTGTCAGCAATGCTGAAAGTAACAACACGACAGGCATGTCCCCATTACTTAATGTGACAGTCCACATCATGCACAGTGAAATAAAAAAAAAAGTCCACAGTCACTGAGGCGCATTTATTTATTAAAGTCACTCCAGGCACTGTGAGCTCTGGTGGCCCAGTGGTAAGGAGTGACACTGTCAACTCCAAGGCAAAGAGGACAGTAATGGACCAGCTGCTCTCCAGGAGAAAGATCCCCTCATGAGCCATCTGAAAATACAGCCTCTGAAAGCCCACGGGAGGGACCAGCTATGAGTGTCTTCTGACTTCAGGACACAACAGCACGGGTAACTGAGAGCCCTGGTGGCCTAGATAGTCAGGAGCTGCACTGGCAACAAAAAGGAAGGCAGTTCAAGTCCACCAAGTGCTTTTCCCATGTAATCCATGGTCTCTGTAAACCTGGAAGAGTCACTTACAAAGTTGATTCCAACTCGAGAGCAATTGAGTTTGGAGGCATCTTGGAGATTTCTTTCTAGATGTGACTTAACTCTTCAAGGAGAAGTAATGTGAACTTTGGGTGATGCCTGAGGAATGCGAGCAAGCAGATAAAGTGTGGGACTTCCAGCCCAAAGGTTGGAGGTTCATATCTACTCCAAGGTACCTGTAATGAACGAACTAGCGATCTTGTTCTAAAGCATCAAGCCGAGAAAGACCTTTGGGGCGCAGTTCTACCCTCTTACCACATATGGGGTTAGCATGAGTCCGATTCATTCCAGAGCAACTGGTATTGTGAAGAGTGAGAAGAGAGACAAAGAAAGGAAGCACATGCATAAGAACAGCCATGAAAATGTTATCAAATCATTATAATTATACATTGTAAATCATGATGGGAGGTTAGAGTATCCCCTCTGTATAGTTTATTCTAAAGTTAGAATGTGAAGCCAGATGCTAATAAGCCCAAATCTATAAATATGTATAAACCAAATGACTAAATGGATTCTGGGAAGAAATGAATCCAAAGAAATATTTACAATAAAATAACAATAATCTAGAGGTCAAGCTTTATGTATTCCAAAGCAACTGAAATCAATGAGTTGGTTCTTTCAGTTCATTAAATAATAAAATTATACTTGGAAGACAATCAAGTTTGTAATAAGCCCTTCATTAAATCCACATCACAATTAGCTCTTTTGAACATCAAACTCTCCTGGGGTTACCTGATTCAGGAGACCCACGCATTTGTTAGTTCCACATTTAGAGTTCCAAAATAAGAACACAACTCAATTTAAAAGTACCAACAAACTCTTCTCCCAGCTAGTTAAACCCAAGAGAATTGAAAATGTATGTCTCCACAAAGCCATGTGCACAAATGAATGTATCCAGCAGCATTATAATAGCTAAAATGAGAGTATCAAGCCTAAAGCTCACCAATAGGTACTTAAACAAAGGATAGTGTATCCAAACATGGAACACTGTGCCATCACAGGGTCTAGCCCCAATGTGTGTTAAACTTTATTCCCCAAAAGCAGGGTGGAGAGGGGGATAGGGGAGGAGTCTTTCTTTTTATTGGGATTTTAAAGATAGTTTCTAGAGAATTTGGATTTCCATTCACTCACTATTGCACATATGCATGCTACATGCTCACAGAGACAGAAAACACACCAGCAGTTGTCTGTATGGGGTGAGTGGTGAGGAATAGAGTGTGACTCCTGATAAGAGACTGGTGTTTTGTTTTTTTCTGAAATGGTGAAAACTGTCTGAAATTTGAAACGTGTGATCACTGCATAATTATGTGACAGTGCTAGAAAATAATGAATCATGAACATATAAAAGGGTGACTTTATGTTAAATTAATTCTATGAGGAAATGCTAATATGTATACTATGATCTTATTTAAATCTCTTTTATCCATATACCCATTCATATATTCATTCATCAATTTACCCCTCTGTCTGTCTTTTCCTGTGTGTGTTTAGAGAAAGTAGTGTGTGTATAAATACATACACACACACACGTATATACAGACACACATAAAAATGTCTGGAGTGTTGTTTACATAATATGAAGCTGGTACTTTATGAGTGGTGTGATTTCTAGTGAGTTGAAGGGCATACTTTTCAATATTTCTTCATTTATCATGAAGATATACCATTTCTTATAAACTAATGAATGAATTCTTTTAAAATACAAGTAAAAACTCTTGGCTAATAAGTACATGGGAAATAATCAAACTATTGTTCTACAGAAACATGCAAAGGAAAACGGCAACGAAGTATAGCTGTGACTAAACTAAGGAGAAAAATGAAAATCCAACTGGCCACACCAACTCCTGGCAAAAATGTAGAACCACTAAAACTCTCAAAGAGTGAAGCAGGAGTATACAATGTTGCAGTTACTTGGAAAACCTGTTTAGCAACCAACCAACCTATTACAAATAAAACAGAACAACATAATTCTACACAATTATCTAGAAAAAAAAGACATTTTATAAAATGTACTCAACTATTTATGGGAGATTTCTGAATAACAGCCAAAACTGTGAGAGAAAAAAATGGCAGCCGCCAATTACAGACATAGTGGTTGTCTACAAAATGAGTGTGGCTGCTAAACAAACCCAAGTCACTTGGTTCCAGCTCACCAGTTGCCTCAAGGGAGAAAAATGAGCCACCTCCTCCCACTCTATTTTGAAAACAGCTTAGAGGGTCAGCTATCAGTCGGCTCCTACCTGACTGCACATCACTACAATAATGAAGACCCAACAATGAAATAAGCACAACACTGATGCTGCAGCAACACAGTAGCTGAAATCTTAACTGCATTTTGCCAAGTGGAAAAAAATTAAGACATAAAGGACTATTTACTGTAATTTCATTTACATAATAATATCCTTGAATGTATTCAACCTCTTGCCATTTCATGTCTACTGACTTTAAAACCAATTCAAATGACCTAGACTGGAACTCAAAGTACTCCATAATCTATCATCAATTTATTTTCCTAAGTTATCCTTAGTTCCCTCTTATGTTGTAGAGGTCAAAGCAGTGTGTGCCTTTTCCTCCAGAAACTATTTAATGTAATTTGTGGCTTTGTTCACACACACACACACACACACACACACACACACACACACACACACCCCTTCCTTATAATTTTCACTGAAATATTCATTCCATGGATATCTCATGCTTTGAGTTGTGTCTCATAAGAATGTATGTGTTCAATGATTTAATGGTGAAAGAGTGCTATACATCCCATGACTGCCAAAAGAACAAACATTTCAAGACATGTCTTGAAAAAAGTACAGCCAGAGTGCTCCCTGGAGACAAGGATGCCGAGGGTTGGCTCACTTACTTCAGACATGTTGTTAAGAGAGGTTATTCCTTAGAAAGGTGGGGGGTTCAGCAAAAGAGGAGAACCCTCTCAAGAACCATCTCAAGATGAAATAACACAATGACTGCAGCATTAGGCTCTAGGATGCCAAGATGATGAGAATGGCACATGACAGGATAAACTGCCACTCTGTTGTTCACAGGGTCATTGTTAATGTATTGCACTCAACTCAATGGCACCAACAAAAACATCACCATTTTCCCTTATTAAATTCTTAATTATCTTTTAAGCAATTAAACACTGCCTCTGCTAAGTGATCTACAAACTAGATTCCCTTACTCAGAACTGAAAAAGATTCCCTCAGTACTACTTTTGATACAGAAATCAAACACACAGACGCTAGGAAAGTCCTTGGCTAGTGAGCTTCTTTTATACTCTTCTTCAATGTTCCTTTATCACACTGATTTTGTGACTGTGATGTGGTCTGTAAACTCATTATGAGCAACAAATGGTCTTCTCTATCTTCACATTCTTCAAAATTCTTTTTTTTTTTT